ACACCCAACAGCTTAATATTCGTTAAAACAGTGCGTTCAGAAAACCCATTCCTGAGCTGGTTGATTGGATCAAAGCTTAAAGTTCCACAATAAGACGCCGCATTGACAGTAGAGCTCAAACTCACCGAATTTGACAAATGTCTGGGGCAGTTCGAATTATGAGCGTCGTTGAAAAATACATCTTCTGAGGTCCCATTTAATTGCGTACTCAGATATAAAGCCCAAACCGTGGTATAAATCCATCTCTACATATACAAATAAATGAATGTGAACCTTTTTTCGATCAAAGTACGAAAGCTCTGGTAAACCATATCAAAAGGCATGATTAAACATAGACGTTTTATGGACTATTGAATTTCGAGTGACTCATCAGAAAACCTGATGTGTAAAGAGGCAACTGCGAGGAAACAGACCTACTTCGTCCAAGATAATTGTTCATTAGTCATTTCATAGCTGTAACCCAGTATACGGCTTCCATCAGGATAATCCTACCAGGATAGGGATAAATCCACAACGTTTCGTTTCATCTATTCTACCGGCACGGTTTCGTTTCTAGTACTCCTGAGCGGTGGAACCCAATGACTGATGATGCCTGTGCCCCCGCTAGTTTTCCAGTGACAGCAACGCTTATGCCCATTCGCGATAATGTGCCAAATGTTGTGAACGAAGCAATGCAGAGTGCGTCAAGATGTCTAAATAAAACCTGGTTTGGAATCGTTTAGCGTCAGTTGTCAGGATTCACTTTGAGGATTGCCGATTACGTGATACTCATCGGGGTCAAATACCGGGATGAAATTCTTCGAAGCGCGGAGCATGCGTCGAACCGGTGGGAATTTGGTAACCAAGACCATTAGGTATAATTGCAGGTGGGTGATGTTAAATCGGAAATAAACATGTGCTTCTAACGTCTTGTTCAACTTACCACAATGGCCTCTGTTTGAAATATATGGGAAATTTCACCTTATTCAGACAAACAAAATGTGAAATTTCAACTACAAATCCCTTAATAAACTAACAGAACTCAAAGGTCTGTGCACCGGTGCTTCTACTGAAGATTAAATTCGCATTTAAGTTCTGAATTCCGCAAAACGTTTCTGCGTCGGCTTATTGTGCGATCTCTGCATTACATACCAGCACTTCTTCAGCAGAATATTTGCGTGGGCTGCGTCTTATTGATTCCGGAAAAATAATTCGTGTGGGCGAATTCGACCGCGCACTGAAGACTGAATTCTTGAAAACCTCACCAGAAAAACACACCCACACACACGATGAAACCAAAATGTGTTTTATTTCGTTTGTTTGCAGCCTCACAAATTTCGAATCATCAAAAACGTTTCAAATAAAATATCTTACTCTGAAGTTGCGTTGCTATGTTTGGAAACTAAGGAAGAAATATAATTTTGGAGAAGTCGCACGTTACATGCGCAGTAAGTCACTGTGTTAATGTAACCCACAAGTCCGCCCCCCAATATTTTCACTCAGAAATTTATTTCATCCCTCCAGCGAACTCTGCTTCTCTAAGTGAAACTAATCTATGCTGAAAAGCCGAGAAGCACTGTACAGCTGTTTCATCCTTATTGGGAATCATCAGCAGTGCGTATATCACGAAACTGCGAAGAGTCTCGAACCCGCGACGTCCCGGCTAGTAGTTTGAACACTTAACCGTTCGGCCACGAGTGGCTGATCAGCAGTGTGATTAACTCGCACTTGGACAGGATATAGCGCCGCTCAACCTTCAATCATGGGATCCGCATCACGCGGTCACACGTGTTGACTGGCTCCTGGAGCAACGACTTCTCTTCGGAGTTTCGTGAGATGCGCACTGCTGATGAAACAGCTGTACAGTGCTTCTCGGCTACTCAGCATAGATTAGCTTCACTTACAGGACGAAATCCCCACAAAAACCCAAATCTCCTCAAACTACCAACTGCTTCTCCAAGTTGGCACAAATCTTTCGATAGCATTACATTCTCCAACAGGTCAGCACTACTTGAAGTCGAGAACGATGTGTTGGTGAGCACCTGTTCACTTCAGGTAGTAAACAGACTTTATTGAAAATCTTTAGAAAAAATGAACACTTCTGTGACACTCTGAAAACTTCAAACCGTTGAGTTTGTGTCAACAAGTACCTTGATTTCCATCCCCAGCCAATCGCGCGTACGCCGACTTCAAAATTTTCTACATGAATAGAGTAAACTGGTCGTTGACTTGTTAGCTGAGCTGGGTAATTTTAGTGCAAACGTTTCATCACCAGTGGGCACAACCACTTAACCGCCGCTACGCATCACTACGCTCCCCAATAGTGCTCTGATGATGTCACCTCGATTGGTGATGAAACGTTTGCAATCAAATTGCTCAGCTCAGGGAACAAGCCAACGACTATCTACGTTACCTGAGCTACCGATATTGTCCTCTATAGAAAATAGAGTGAACTACCTGCCGAAGTGTCTTGGAACATATTGGACCAGAAATATGTAGCCCTGCTACTCTGTCGCAAAAATTATATAGGTTATCCTTCACTTACATGTAGAGGGCTTTCTCACTGAATAAAGGACGCATAGATCTTAAATCAGTCAGCAAATTTTTCCAATCACTTTGGATTGTTTCACAATGTTCACGGTAATTTCTCATTAATTTTGAAGTAGATGCTATAGATGCTAAAAAATCTTGCATCCGATATGCCTATGCACGAATTAATCACGAGGTACTGTCTCCGCTTAATTGAGGGGGAAGGAGGTGAGCAGTTTGCCCTGAGTAGCAGACCAATATGGGATCCGGCTGACCACATCTTTTTCTGAACCTGTCCATTGCACAGCACGACAACAATGGTACCATATACGTCAATATGCGTACAATAAATTTGTCAGGATTACCAACAGAGGTAGCAGAGCGGATGCAGCATTCAGAGGTAGTCGGTGCACCTCGACCATAAACTTACACAGAGTTTGTATTCGAGTCTAAATTAAAAATGTACCAAATTTTCGATTTTGGAAGTCACTACACAACAAAATTACCGGAAGAATTACTCGAATCCATTGACCGAATATTATTTCCAGTGTTTACCTCAAACGCTATTCGGGACATCTGGTAGGCGATTCATGATTCAAAGATGATCCATTCTTTCTTGCTCATAGCCACACCAATGTCATTTGAACGGCCGTGTTCCTGTTTTGGCGTAATTATTCCGGTGAGTCCACACCAAATGGAAGCACCGGACTCGAGTTTCGCTCCCATTAGAGCTCACCGGTGTATCCAATGCGTATTCAACGGCCGTGCCGGGATTGGAACCCCGGCTATGAGAAAATTATCTATCCCGCAAAACCCTAAAATTGCAACCTAAAATCTGCCCAGTGGGTTTCAAGCGTGTGCCACGTTACCTGACTGGGAAGTCCTGACTGGCGGGTCAATCGTTCGTCACAACCAGGACAATTACTGGGTCTTCCTTCGGTGGGTCGGCCACGCCAATCACATTGCCCAAGTGTGAACAAGTTCGCCTGTTCAGACGTGATAATTCAGATGCGTACGACGTGCGTTGGTGGAGTAGTGGTTACACGCTTGCATGTCATGTCTGATGTCCGGAGTTCAAATCCCGGCACAGCCACTGGATGTGCGCTGCTGATGAGCTCTGGTAGGAGCAAAACTCGAGTCCAGTGCTTCCCTTTAGTGTGGGCTCACCGGAATAATTACACCAGAACAGGAACACGGCCGTTCAAACGAGAGTGGTGTAGCTATGAGCAAAAATACCTATCCCGCAAAACCCCAAAATTGCAACATCCCTTTGTAATATGAGAGATAATGTAAGCCATTCTTGTTAACGAAAATTAAAAGTGGCCAATTCAAGACGTGACCCGAAAGTATCGCACGCTTTTCGCTCTGAATCCACATCACCAATGTGAATTCGCGAGCACGTGAGTGAACCATCCACACCGATATTCAGAAAGCCTGGTGCAAGGCCGAATACGGAGGGAACTTTGAAAGTGTCATTTTCTCGGCGTTTGTCAAACCCTTGTGTTGTTCAGTGAAGGCGGCGAATCCTAGTATAGCCTCATACCTAGTTTATCAGAAAATGACTGCGAGAAAATCATTCGCTTTGGTTTAGGAATTGTTCACACGCCTGGAACACCGCAAACACCGTAACAGTGAAGTTTCATTTGGTGTGTATAACCACTAGATTAAAACTTTCGTCAAACTACTCATGATCCGGCGTGATTCCCAAGTGATGATCATCGGCGAAACAGTGCCTCACAACCGTGGAAACAGATAGGAGAATTGGACAGGAATGCGGAGACTTTGAATACAACACGATGTAATCTAAACGATCAATAATATGCCATTCACGCAAGCAGCCAGGGGTCATCCTGAGGGTGGCGCTATCACCAAACTTTTCAATAACCCTGTCTGCATCATAGATTTCAGCAGTGAACTACGGATAAGTTCCGGTCGATCGGTGCGTTTGGAAATGTGAACCATCCGCTCCAGGTGAAATTTCACATTTCACGGGAATTTTTAGTTCTGCGATCACGTTCCTTAGCCAGCTAGCTGGAAAGATCTAATGCTCAAGGTCTACTTCATTCCACTCTGCAGATGACAGATGATAATTCTGGCGCGCGGTATCTCAGCACACCTACCATATAAAACAATGCCTTTATCCGGCTGCATGTCCAGTAACGTCCATTTGTGTGGCTGGTTTCATTTTTCTCGGGAATCATCAGCATCGAGGAGTCACGGAAGGCGGGGCGGCTCCTACCCACGACATTTCAGGTTCTGGTTTAGNAAAATACCTATCCCGCAAAACCCCAAAATTGCAACATCCCTTTGTAATATGAGAGATAATGTAAGCCATTCTTGTTAACGAAAATTAAAAGTGGCCAATTCAAGACGTGACCCGAAAGTATCGCACGCTTTTCGCTCTGAATCCACATCACCAATGTGAATTCGCGAGCACGTGAGTGAACCATCCACACCGATATTCAGAAAGCCTGGTGCAAGGCCGAATACGGAGGGAACTTTGAAAGTGTCATTTTCTCGGCGTTTGTCAAACCCTTGTGTTGTTCAGTGAAGGCGGCGAATCCTAGTATAGCCTCATACCTAGTTTATCAGAAAATGACTGCGAGAAAATCATTCGCTTTGGTTTAGGAATTGTTCACACGCCTGGAACACCGCAAACACCGTAACAGTGAAGTTTCATTTGGTGTGTATAACCACTAGATTAAAACTTTCGTCAAACTACTCATGATCCGGCGTGATTCCCAAGTGATGATCATCGGCGAAACAGTGCCTCACAACCGTGGAAACAGATAGGAGAATTGGACAGGAATGCGGAGACTTTGAATACAACACGATGTAATCTAAACGATCAATAATATGCCATTCACGCAAGCAGCCAGGGGTCATCCTGAGGGTGGCGCTATCACCAAACTTTTCAATAACCCTGTCTGCATCATAGATTTCAGCAGTGAACTACGGATAAGTTCCGGTCGATCGGTGCGTTTGGAAATGTGAACCATCCGCTCCAGGTGAAATTTCACATTTCACGGGAATTTTTAGTTCTGCGATCACGTTCCTTAGCCAGCTGGAAAGAAAGATCTAATGCTCAAGGTCTACTTCATTCCACTCTGCAGATGACAGATGATAATTCTGGCGCGCGGTATCTCAGCACACCTACCATATAAAACAATGCCTTTATCCGGCTGCATGTCCAGTAACGTCCATTTGTGTGGCTGGTTTCATTTTTCTCGGGAATCATCAGCATCGAGCATGTCACGGAAGACGGGGCGGCTCCCACCCACGACATTTCAGGTTCTGGTTTAGATCACTAGCCAGCTGACCAGAGGCTGCCGGTTGGAAATGTGACTAAGTTGCAGTTGGAGAGTTTGGGCGGCGCCATATCCTCGCTGAATACCCATCAGCCCCACTGCCTGCCTAAAATTTACGACCGAAAAGGTGATCGCTCACAATAATAGCTGGAATGTTGAGGATTGAAAGCCTCTCATTAATCTTCAGCTACGAACCTCCAGTGATTCCGGCGATCTCCGTTTTCCGCATAGGAAATGTCCACTGACAGCACCAAGTCCCAATTGGACGTTGCAAAATCTCCACACTGTTCCCTCATCAGGTTGTTGGCTTGGGACTAGTGAAACGTCGCCCTGAGGAGTCATCACTGGTGTATCGACTTGGAGTGGATTCTGTGACCAGCAAGTATGCGGCGTCATGTCCCACCTGGCTGCAAGCAGATAGGCCACTTTACCTCTCATCCGTTAACGACCGTACGGTTAGGGGTACCATAGTTCACTGGAAAATTAATGGGCTTGCATTTTTAATGATTGCCAACAAGGAAAAAAACACCTGCGCGGTGCTTTCCTGATTATCAATTTCTATTGACTGGCTTCAACGCTCGGACGAATCTGTAAGGTGTGCCAGCATCAGAAAGGCAAGAAAACAGAATAGACGTTTTCACGAAACTTATCTATCACGAAGTTGAGGTGGGCTGGCCAAATATCTTCAGAACTATAACGAACATGGATGGGTCATTTGCGCACACAGTCAAACGTTTCCGTGAAATGCTGCCTAAAAACCAGTACGAAACTTATCTATCACGAAGTTGAGGTGGGCTGGCCAAATATCTTCAGAACTATAACGAACATGGATGGGTCATTTGCGCACACAGTCAAACGTTTCCGTGAAATGCTGCCTCCCGAAAAACCAGTAAAATTAAACGTATTTTATTCGACTTTATGGAGATATGAAAAGTTTCGTCGTTTGAGGCTGCTTTGGGAGAGAAAACATATACCACTCAGTCACTCTCTGAGACATGCGCATTATTCATGCTTTCCTCGTTTTAATGTTCCAAAATACTTGACAATCTGTGGCGGGCGCTTATTTCCATTCTCGAACTACCCTTCTCCGTGTGAGGAGTTGGTAAAACTAGGCTCGTGATGTTCGACCTTAAAACGCCAGGAATGAAGAGGTATTTGAACTTTGCATATTTGGAGCTGGCTACAGTTACTTACCTCCTGACTGTAACTGTTTAACCACAGCAAACATGTCCCCTGCAAGACAACACTGAAATATATACTACCTTCGGGCTGCCCCAAATTCACCATGCTGGGACAATTCCAGCAAACCCTGCCTTAATCAACTGTCTCCACAGAGATTGCCTTTATATTTGGTCACTTCGACTCGACGAGTGGTGTCCGGTTAAGCGCCCGTCTCACTGAGGACTCTGAGTTTCACTTTTGGAGGGAAGTTCCCCTTCATTTATTACTGTGTTTTCTGACAAGGGAGCCCATCAGCTGGCAGCATGCGATCCTGAAAAAGCAACCGATGGGTAACCACCCCAATGGTATGAAAAATTTTGAAATGACCGATGAACCCAAACAGAAAGTTTATTTTGTTTACACAGAATTTACATGTTGATGCAACTTAGTTGGTTAGAACAGACCCATCTTGTTCACTCATCCAAGGTAGTTTTTTCTTTAAACAGAGTAGTTGTATCCCGTTATATAATCAATTTGTATACCGTTATATAATCAATTTCAAATTCTGACAGTCCCGTTTTAGTGAATGATAATAACTCGTAGTCAGAACGGATTTCAGCCAGCGCACTCGGGGCATTTCAAGGGGTGTAAACGGTCTTTCTGGAAACTAGCATCTGATTGTTACCTGCGGGGGTGCTGGCTCAGCACAAATTTCCGGGCTAGAATGTTTGGGATTCGAGCCCGACTTCTGCCTCTTGAATTATCCTCTCTAGGCTTGAGCAGCCTGGCAGTATCCCCGTCCTCGTGCTTCCTCCGAGTGGCATGGCAGCTAGACAAGAATTGCACTCAATGGGAAACCAAAGGCAAGCAGGCTCCACAATACCCTACACTGATCCCGCTCGTTGTTGCTGAATTGTACTTTTTTTGGTTTCGAACAGAGAGTCGAAGATATCTCACTGACCATAGAAATCGTACTTTGCATCTATAAAATGTATTGCGTTTTCTTGAATTTGAGCAAAAAAAACGGTCTAATTGCCTGTTTTATTTGCGAAAACTGGGCGTTAAATGAAGGCGCAACATGAAGTTTACCAGAGTATTTCGCAGCCAAATTATTAGCCAACGTCTATTGGGCAGCGAAAACGGACGATATATCTTTTTTCAATCTATCTGGGTCGTTATGGAAACGTTAACTAGGACACTCATTGAGACCTCTGAAATTCATCAAGCTATGGATGCGAAACCAATGAAAGTTATATTTCAAAGGAATCTCACACAGCAATTTTGGTTAAGCTTTGAGTTCATCAAGCCATTGCTTGGCTCTTGGTAGAAAAAACCGGAAGAAATAAACAGTTACACGGCAAAGTAGAAAGAAACGAACCATCAGGTTGGAGCAGGGAAACTACCAGAAATAGAAGCCGCCGTCATTAACCAACCAGATTCAAGGAAGGAAGATCACAACGAAACAAACACCTGGAACGGACCAACTGCAAACAGACCTTAAGCACCCCGAAGTAGCCATCCAACAAACCAATGGAATAAGAGGCATACAGTCCACAACGCAGCAAAAATCACGGTCTGTCCTACAATAATGCAACACAAGACAGATATCAATCAACCAAACACATGACAAGATATTACACACTGTTCAAAAACTACATAAACGCAGTTAGGCCTGGAGGAAGCACCCACTCAGCTGCGCACTGACTGTCTCTTCGACCGGGGACGAAGCGTTTCCAAGCCAGTTACCAAGCTCGGCAAACAGATCAAATACCATCCGTGCGACTACCATAGACAGAGGCTTACAGAAAAAAACACTTCTCAGGGAGAAGTCGTAGATATATTGTTTGCTTTATCCCAACTAATTCCTGCTGAAAATCCTGCATGATAGGTTTGGTTCCTTACAAACGGTGGAAAATTATGAGAATAACATTGAAACAGAATCCGCCATATCGCGGTTTCATCCATTTGCTTCCACGACTCGAAGCATTCCCTTGAGTTATTTGGCCGGTCACCGTTGGTGAAAGCCATCTGTTGTTGACACTTGTGACGTATCGACAGTCTACTTGCTCCAGTGACTGTCGGATCCTAAAAAATAACGGAAACCTAACCGTTTGGTTTAACCAGGCTGAACTAAACATCTCTGCCGACACCAAAACCTAAATATCGGCATTCGACTGGAACACGATAGAGGTGTTACTGTAAAGTTAGTTGCTCGAAATCGATTCTGTCTATTCAAGTGAGATGACTCATATCGCGTTTGACTACATCGGATAGAGTTTCCCCAGTTCATATGTCCACAGATCGAAACCATCCCTTACTCTCGTGGAGCCGAATTGACAGACGCGTTCATGGAGGCTATTTGGACAGCGCATTACGGAGACACGAGTATGACCAAAGCAACAAACGGATCGTGAACGTACAATCCATATTATACTCTGTAGTCGCCCTGGTCGGATTGGTAATCATGCAATTACTACTCGGGATATGAGCGTGTTTGGAAAGAGGACCCGATGTCTCAAGGAAAGAAAGATCAACTGAGTCAAACAATTTCCAGCATTACAACAAGTGGCATGTTGTAAGAAAAATTTACCAAGATAGTCGAGAAATGGGTGACCCTCTAGTATTCGAAAAACAGGCGTCCAAGCGGTTTGGACATTTCTTCTAACCGTTTTGCTTATGCTGATGCTGAAAGGTAGTCGGGAAAGTAAATAACTCCTATGCACTCCGTTTCTGGTAACTAAAAACTCCCACGTGCCGTCTTGAACTTATCTGGACATTTATTGAACATTCCATAATATGCGTAATTAATTTCACCTTCCATCAGACGGGGCCGTAGCCCTCGGGCACCACCCCATAGACCACTCGCTTGCATCATCAGTAGCATGCACCGTTACGAGGGTACAAATCATGTGGAATAAAATGACGTGCGACACTGAAATGAAAGGTTGACCATATTGCTAAATATTGTAAGTACTCATTACCACAAAGGACATCTCGATATTTCAAACGCCTGTTTGCTGGTGAACAAAAGTCTTTTGAATATTGTTCACGTCCGTGCATGCTGTTGTTTTAATAAAATTTTCCCATTCATTTCTCCTGTGTCCTAGGGCAAACCTGAGCTCTCCTCTCTTTCTTAGCCATGTGGAAATCCGAAAGTTCTGTTGATCCTGGTAACCTCCAACAGAAACAATGACACACGCACTCGTTTTCTTAAACACCGATTGTCAGCTGCCCCTAACCATGGAGGTGCAACAGTCGAGTGTGGTCTTTTTTGGTATCGCTCCCTAGTGAGACCTTATTCGTCTGGAGCCCTCTACGGCGGTCGAAAATCTTAATTTGTTCTGTCCAAAAATAAAGACTATTTCCGCCAGTCTGATCAAACCGTTAGTATTATTTAACGATATATATAACTGGTGAATTTTGTCAGTAGTCTGTGGTTAGGTGAGGTTTTCTGCGTACACTGTGGAACCGTTTTCCCTTGTTTGTCCAGTGTTGTGTAGCAGTCCCCGAAGATCCAAGAAACTTCAAGCCTACTAGTAAAAGTCTTCAAGTTCAAGTCTTCACCAGGTGCCAAATGCGAAGAGGACCCCGAGAATATAGATTGCAGCAAGGACTAATTGAAGCACAATGTTGAGCGCTCAAGGCTCCCGGAGTGTGAAACGGGACGTTACCGTCTACCAACTATGCAGTTCCACGCACGCGTAGATCACCTTTCAACGGAAAATAAAATGCCTTCTCTAATTTGGTTACGCTAGATTGCACTCAAGATAAACACCGTTATCTAGACTTTTCTGGCAAAATTGGAGTGTGTCTGCATATATTTACTGATGAATTCTAAAAACCATTTTGGCGAGTTTCAAGCAACAAAACAAACAAACCCTCCGAAAGTCGTTGCCAAACTTTTTACCGAAACAAGGAAAGTCCAAATAATTGTTACTGAAACAGCATGAGTAGTAGTTTATTGATTATTGTTTTCAAATAGTGCACGATAATGCAACTCCTACTAACACTTATCGTTGAAGAAAGTTCGGCAAAGTCGGCACTTTCATATCGAGTTTGATGCTGCAGAATTGAG